TTAACACATGTGGAGTGATAAATATAATGCATTCGTGAACAGACATAAGATGCAGAACTTAATGAGTTACGACCACATTTTCTGACAGTAAAGTGAAGACAACAAGTCTCCAAGACTTGTCCCTGTTTTGCAATCACTGTCCTTTTCTTTCTTCCAAAAGTTACTGTGCTTTTCTCATCATTGTCAACAATATCTGAAAGAAATGAGAGAAGAGGGAATGATTTGGGCTCATAGTTTGAGAGTACGAGACAGGGATGGTATTGCAGATTTGGTCCCTGTTCCTAGCATGGGGAGCAAAGGAAGCAGAGAGACTGGCTGGAGGAGGGGCAGAGATATAAGCTTCAAAGCCCATCCTCCTGCAGCCAGCTTCTTCCAGCTAGACTCTGAAATTACCCGGCACAATTGACAAGGAAACAGGAAACACGAAACAAACCTGCTTAGGAGTTTATTAGAGGAAACGTGTACAGGCCTGGTGCAGTCGGTGTACAGAAAGAGGGATGAAGATGGCACATCCAGCTTTTAAAGGCTGCCTAATACATGCACACAGGCAGTGATATAGCTACATCATACATAGGTGATGGAGCTCACACATGCGCACAAGGGCTTACTTAGCTGCACCATACGTAGATGATGCAACCATGCTGCACATGGGTCACAGGGTCTTTTAAGGTTCCCAGGGTGGCTAGGTTTTTGCCTGAGGGCTTGTCTGCACATGCATGGCCCTGGAACCTGAAAGTGCCAGCCATGCTGGTTGGCTAAAATCATAACATTTCACCCTTTTGTTTATTATGAAAATTTTGGGAGTTTGGGGTCTTTAGTGGATGGGAATGGGGCGTCATCAGGTCCCTGGTGACTGCTTCCTGCTGATTTTATGGGTGTTGGAGAGTTGAGGTGCTTGACCATGTCCTAGGGTGGCTGATTACTTTTGTGTTTTTTTTTTTTTTTCGGGCTCAGTGGAACTGGCTGGCTGGCAGCTTGGATCTTGCAAGATGCTGGGAAGGCAGAAAATTATGCCTGGAAAAATTTTAGATTCTGGTGATTGAGGGAGGAGAGTCCCAAGATGGAGGATGGAGGGATTTTTTGAGGGGATGGAGGAGAGAATTTCCCAGGGGGTCCCGAGACCAGAAATGATAAAGGAAGAATTAAATGATACTTATTTTGGGCAAGTCTGGTCTGTTTAGATAGGTCTAATTGGCTCCCTGGAGCTTATGAAAAGAAAATGTTTAAAAAGAAATAAATTTTAAACATATTAAAAGCTTATGATTATGATAGTATAGTGTTGGAATAGAAGATGGTAGGGAAGAGGGAAGAGAAAAAAGGGGAGTTATTAAAAAGGGAAATTAGTAAACCCCTCAATGTTTTGCCTGAAGCAAAACATTAAGGTATTTGTTCACTTTGGCATCATGGTATTACCTTAACATCCATTTGTCAACTAACTCAGGTTACATCGTGAACTTGTTAAAAAGCCTCCCATCTTCCCAAGGCTACAGGAATTATTCACTGTTGGTCTCATCAGACTGACAGCTCCATTATTTCCAAAGGAAATAACTGGGCTGACCAAGCAGCTAGAACAGCAGCATTCCAGATCTCAGTCATCTCAGGAGATCCAGACAGGACAGCCCATATCCTTGTAGACATCCACTGACACTCAGGACATTCTGTCCTACCTACATCAGCTCTTTCATCTTAATAGCAAATCTCTGTTTTGTTTTATCAAGGCTCACCTCTAACCCACCCCTGAGGACTTAGAGTTCTTAAAAGTTATCACTGCCTCTTGTAAAATCTGTCAAAAGTCACATCCCAAGACCAAATATTGTAGCTTTCCCTTTCCCACCCATCAGGCCAGGGGTTCCCTTCCAGAAACTGACTGGTAGCTTGATTTTATTCATATGTCCACAGGTAGACTAGTTAAATACCTCCTGGTTTTGTTGGACACCATGTCTGGATATATTGAAGCATTCCCCACTACTAACAAGAGGGCCCAGACAGTTTCTGATGGTCTTCTGTGAGAAATCATCCCCTGGTTTGGAATCCCAACCTCTCTTCATCGGATAATGGCCCAGAGTTTACCTCCCAGATCTCTCCAACTTTATCTAAGGCTCTTAACATTCCCTGGCATTTTCATATCCCATACCATTTTTAGTCTTCAGGGAAGGTAGAACAAACTAACCATTCCTTAAAAGATGTTCTTGTTAAAATGTCACAGGCGCTTCACCTTGACTGGGTAAAACTCTTGCCTCTGGTCCTTCTTAGGAGTATGGCTCTCCCCAACAGCCCTCTTTCTATCTCACCCTTTGAATTCATGTATGGGTGGCCAGTTTTAACCTCCTGCCTCTCACCTAAAACCTCTCCTCTTCCTTATCATCTGCCTACTCCATTGTTAGCCTGTCTTCATTCCCTATTATGGAATTTTACCGACTACTCATTACCTCAACCATGTGCCAATCTATGCCCACTGCCAATTAAAATAGGAGATCAGGTACTATTCTCCTCCTAGACCAATGCCTCTCAATACTTTCCCCTAAATGGCAAAGGCCCTTTAAAGTAATTCTTGTAACTCCCATAAGCTGTCAAGCTTGGGGTACTCCCTTATTGGATCAATCTGTCTCACCTTAAACTTTTTACTCTTCCAGCTCAAGATACCCCCTTGTATATGATAACTCAAACAGGACCCTGCTCCCTTAAGTTCCAGAGGACACCAAGATCAACCACTTTTTCACCAGTTCCAGAAGAATAAAAGTCTCATCACCATACTCAATTCTCCTGTGCCCAAAACTCCATATACTCTCCCTCTCCCTCTTTTGTCTGCTTTACCAACTTCTCTATAGCTCCAATGTCATACTTAAATGTCTCCAGTTAACCACTCAGCTGTTATTACAGGGACCGTCATTAAATGTAGAGCTGGAGGTACAAGGACTGCCAAAAGCCCAGGTGGCAAGAAACAATAACGAGTTTGGGGTCATCTACAGTCTCAGACTCCAAAAGCTCACAAAAACAGACTTTAACATAACAGGTTTATCACTGACTGCCACAGTGTCTCCTGGATGTTAAGGTAATACCATGATGCTAATTATTCCACCCCATTGATTTATTTGTCCATCCCTTCACCACTAGAAAACCATCCTAATGCTTAACTACTCTAAGTCATGACACTTGGGTGTTATCCAGTTTTACTATTCTTCAGGAGACCAAGAGTTTCTTGGTTATTTTACTCCTTTTTTATTCCCATATATATCTTAAAGTTATCCCCCCCGTTACGCATGCATGCACCCTGTTCTGAGAGTCACACTGGCTATAGACCAACCTGGGAAGAAGTGACCCTGTTAAAGTGCCACAGCCACGAAAGCAGCATAACCTTTGTTTATTTTGGTCTTCAATTTATTTCAAAGTGTCTTCTAGCTCTCTCTGCAGAGCTGGCACCCTTTAAATTCACTACTTGTTGCAAATCATATTCTCTTAAACTTTTCTTTATTACTAACCTATTAAAACACAACTGGCAGTTGAATTTCACTTTGTAGTGGGAATGGAAGAAAAAGGTCATAGCTATGTTGACGAGTCTACAACGTTGACTGTCTGACCTCTTAGGGGCCTGCACCTGTTGATACTAGTGTTGGCAAGGATGAGGCAGGAAGACCAGGAGTTCAAGGCCCTGCTGCATTATATAAGGGGTGTGTGCACTGGGCTACACTGTCTTAATGTGATGAGAAAAACTGGAATGCTGCTGATATAACCAAATAATCTTTATGTCTATTTTTAGTGTCCTAATTAGTCACTAATTGTCCAGCTCTCTGTCAGGCTGAACAGCCTGTTGACTATCAGGTAAAACATCTGGAATGCATTATTAGGAGACCACTAACTTCCATCATCCGAAAGGGGAGGATATTATCAACTCTCCTTGCCTAAAGCCTGTGGAAGAATTAATACCTTGTTTTGCTCTAACCCACCTATCTCCTGCTGTCCCCAGAAAAGTGTCCGAGAAATGTTTCCTTTGTGTTTTGGTCTATGAACTGTTAAAGATTGTGTAAATGCTTTCATGTAGAAATGTGTTTTTTTTTTTTCAAGGGCAACCTAAATCAAGGCTCCCTGGCCATAATGATTATTTGGTTCAAAATAAACAGTCTTAGATGACAGCTTTGTTTTGCATGTACAGTTTCCAACAACTGTTAATTAAATTAGTAACTTTTCCCACGTCTTGGATTTTCCTATGCAAGTCACACATCTATGCACAGTCATTTGTATTCCTCCTAAACCACATCACCTGTTTTCTCAAATTATTGAATAACATATTATCAATTGAATCTAGGAAATATGCAATTTAAGTTATGCCTTATTTCTATTGCTGCAATGAAACACCATGACCAAAAAGCAAGTTGGGGCAGAAAGGGTTTATTTGGCTTACACTTCAACATTGCTGTTCATCACTGAAGGAAATCAGAACAGGAACTCAAACAGGGCAGGATCCTGGAGGCAGGAGCTGATGCAGAGCCCATGGACTGAAGGCGCTTACTGATTTGCTCCCCTGAGGTTGCTCAACTCAGAGAACGCAGGATCAAAAGCCCAGGAATAAAACCACCCACCAGGGGATGGCCTCTCTCCCACTGATCTCTAAAAGAGACCTTAGAGCTGGATCTCATTGAGGCATTTCCTCCTCCTTCCTCTGATGACTCTAGCTTGTGTCAAGTTGACACCCAAAAGCGGCCAGTACAAGTTGTAAATTCAACAAGAATCTGCTACTGCATTACTGTCCCACATGCTACCCCACAACCACTTGTCCAGAGGAGAGTTCTGCAATTCCTCCTTTGCTGGGTAGGGATGAAGACAGACGTCTAGGCAAAGCTTTCTACTTGGAACTGCCTTTGCCGCTAGCACTGCGGCAGCCTCCGTATCTCCGCCCATCATAGGACGCAGCCAATCAGCGTCAGGCTCAGCAACCCCGCCCTAGTCGGACGCAGCCAATCAGCGGCAGCGTCTTTTGCGCGCCTTACTTTGCAAAGATGGCGGTGGCTTTTGGCGCTCAGGCGGTGTGCCGAGCCGTTGCACAGCTCCTCGGTTGCACAATGTGAATGCGGCAGGAGGAGGGTGCCGCCGGAATGAGTCGGCGAAGGAAGTTTGCGGACAGCCCTGGCCGGAGGAGCACGCCGCGCAGGGCGGCTGCCGACGACTGCTGCCCAGCAGTGGAGCCGGGGTCCCGATGGTCCAGGGCGGCCCGCAACTCCCGGCCCTGCAAGGCTGGAGCTCGGCCTTTGCGGCGGGAGCGGCTCCAGGCGGCGGCTGACGACCGGAGGAGCCCCGGGGGTGAGGAGAGGGCGGCCGGGGAGCCGAGCCCGGGTGTGGGTGGGGTGCGGAGAGGGCAGGGAGAGCAGCTCCGGGGGTTTGGAGTGCGCGGGAGGCTTAGGCTGCAAAGCGGAGCCCGTGATCCGGGCAGCGGTGTCTGTTTTTGGGTTGACTCTGGTTCTGAGCGGACCCTGTACCTTAAACTATCCCCGGGGAATTGGGCAGCTAAGCTTTTCTTTTTTCCCTTCTTTTTTTTTTTTTTTTTGCACTGTTTTGCTTTTCAAAAAGAGTCACCTCAAAGCTGTCGTTTGTTTCCGGAACTTGCTAGGAATAACATCCGGTTAGAATAGCAAACCAATGGAGCGTTCCTTTCTGTTAACTTTTCGAGTTAGATTTTTTTTTTTTAAAGATTCCTAACCTAATAAAAACCTTTCCTAGAGTGTGTTCTTAAAATAAAACTTCTGTTATCTTGTTTGCCTCTGCTATGACAAAACAAATCCAAGAAAGAACAATGCAATTGTAAAAATTTAAGTGATTCTAAACAGAACTTCTCTAGGAACAGATCACTCATGTTTTTTTGGAGTTGTTAATTAGAGTATAAAATTCGGGCAGACTTGATAGGAGGATCTTAAACGAGTTTAACTAGGGTTTCTGTTTGGATAGTTGGCAGTGTATCTGCTAACAGCAAGAAGGTTCGTAAAGTATGGAAGCTATGGAGATAGTAACTCAGTGACCAGGTGGTATCATTCCTGGGCCTATGGGATTAAAAAAAAATACTAACTACAATGTTAAATTTATGAAGTATCAATTTTACTGAAAAATTTCTATTGTGTTTAAAATAGTTGTTTTGAAGAGACGTTTTATATTGGGCATAAAAATAATTTGTCTGTGCTGCTCTTGTGAATGCTTAAAACGGGACAATTGTCATTTTGTACAGAACAGTATGAGACACCAACAAGAGTTATGAAAGTGGATTTATTATCCTATACCTTAAGTTCTCCTAATGATCCAGATGGACAGACCGATATCTTCTGGGATCAGAATTCTCCAATGACCAAACAGTTAGGTAAATCTGATACAATTGTTATATGGAAGCTGGGTGGTGGTGGTGCTCGCCTTGACTCCCAGCACTTGGGAGGCAGAGACAGGCGGATCTCTGTGAGGTCGAAGTCAGCTTGATCTACAAGAGCGAGTTCCATGACAGCCAAGGCTGTCTCTAAAGAAAAAGGGGGGGGGGGTTGTTATGTGGTTAAGTGTTTGGTGAAGGATTGGTATTTGTAACATTTTAGTAAGATAACATCAGAAACTTTGATACAGTGCACTTTTTGTTGTGTTCTTGAGACTCTTGAGTGATTTTTCTAATAGGCACGTGATGTTAGTGCAGAGTCACTATATATACTGTAGTGTAAGTTGCACTGGTTACAATCATTTTCTAAAAGGTAACAACAGATTTTAAAATTCTTGGCCTAAGATTTATAGAAATGTCTGTTTCTTTAGGTAAAGGAAGAAAAAAGCAGATTCCCACTCCATACACGGATGAGATTTCACATATTGTCAACCGCATTGCTCCTCAGGTAAAGACAGCCGTTTCTTGGTTTATAAAACAGCCAAATTGGTTTGCTGCTTGCTTGTGTCCTCTTTCCCATTTGAAATAATGTATTTAGAGCAAGAGAGGTTGCTGTTGGCTTTTCTCTTTCTGGGTGTGTGTCTTGAAAGAAGAGACAATTTGTAGAGTGGATAGTATTGTCATCCCTTAGTGTCCATGAGGCACGGTTTCATGACCATTCTGAATACCCGAGTTTGCAGATTCTGAAGTTCCTTACAGATAATGGTGTGGTTTTGTGTGGTAACCTGTGCACATCCTCCCATGTACTGTATTTATTTATTTTATTTATTTTTTTTGCAGTGCTGGAACTCAAACCCAGGGACTCACTTCTGCTAGGCAAGTGCTCTTCCATGAGCTATGCCTCCAGCCCACCCCATAAACTTTAAGTCATCTCTAGTTTATTTAATCCTTAAGTAATACAGTTAATTGTCATGCTGTACTATTAGGGAAGAAAATCAAAGAAAATGCCTGTATCTCTCCCCTATTTTTCGTCTGCCATTGGTTAGATGTAGAACCTGCACATGCAAGTAGATATTTTGCTTTAATTCTCTTGGAGTAGTAATTAGTGACTAGCGTTTTACTTTTGTTGTCTTTAATATATTTAACACCATGCAGCATTTTCTGCATTGTATTTTGAACAGTTGTATAATAGAACAAGCAATGTAAATTTGAGTTTTGGTTGTTAGTGCTTGTCCACTGTCTATAGGACAGATTTTCCTCATTGCAGTTGCTCTCACTTGTATCCACTGAGTTATAAAGTCACCAAGAAATGCTTTAAAACTGGGGCAATCGCTGGGCTTAGGTGTAGGCCTCATACAGTCTCTTCCGAGTAGCGAAATGCTCATAACCTTAGTTCATTCAGCCACAAAGAATTATTACCTGATTTGCTGTCTTCAATGGATTATTAGGATTAAGTTATATAAAATTTATAATAAACTATAGAGTGCTATAAATAAATTATGGTTTATTTATTGTAATAAACCCATCTTCAAAGATTTTTTTCCTTCACTTTAATTTTTGTGATGCTTTAATGAAATAGAAGTTTTAGTGAATTGTGGAACACAAAGGAATCCAGTAACTGTTATTCCTTGTATTAGTTCTGTCGTTAGTAAGCAGCATTGCCAAGAACATCAACTGTTCTGAGTTTCTATTCTTTCTTCTCCTTACTTTAATATTTTCTTTCTCCATTTTCTAAAGTGTGTCTGTGTGTGTGCATATGTGCTCTCATAGCTGTACGTACATGCGTGTGCATGCATGCCCACAACATGTGTGCAGGTCAGAGGACAGCTTGCAGGAAATCAGGTCTTCCACTATCTTGGTATGATTCATTGTACCAATACTTCGTTTAAAAGTACATTTATGCCATAATATTATTACTCTGTATGTCAGCAGTAAATCTTCATTAACTAAATCAAAGAAGCACAACAAAACACTTTCGGGCCGGCCAGCCTGACTAGTGGTGTAATGTTGAGTATCCTGTTGGCTTTACGAGATGGGCTGGGAATAGCAGCTGTTGTGAAGAAATGGCAGCAGTGCCCCGTGGTAACTGGAGTCATGGAAAACTGCACTGGGATTAGTTAATTCATCTCCAAGTGTCAGACCCTCATAATTACAAATGTTTGAAGTTTTGTTAGTTATCTTCAAATCACTTAGTTCCCTCCTAATGGTTTCAGATTTCATTTTTTAAGACATACATTTGCATATTAGACAGTCATTCCATTTTCTGTAGTGATAACTTCAGCGGTGTTTAAGGTGATATCTTTGTTTTCATCATTTATATAACTTTTTACGGTGTGCTCCTTAAGATCAAGTATAACCGTAGCTTTCAACCTTTTTAATGCTGCCTCATTTAAAACAGTTCCTCATGTTGTGGTGACCTGCAATCATAAAATTATAAATGTTTTTGGAGCTAGAGGTTTGCCAGACGTTATAGTCCATTTGCCAGATGGAGAACTGCTAGTTTTAATATAATGTTCATTCCATAGCTTTTTCGGGATTAAGGAACAGAAAAATACAGCAGAAACATCCTAATCTAAGATCACTTCTTACTTCAAATTTTTTGTTTTTGTCTTGTTGTCTGTCTCCCCATTCTTAGATTTAGCCTTGACCTTGCTCTAAAATATCTAGTCCTGACATTACTCTGTCTGTGCTCAGTTAAAGTCAAGATGGAACTTCTGGTTCTTAGATAAAGAGTTAGCGAGAATAAGAAACAAAAATTGGAGAATCATTGCTACAGAAAGAATTCTGGATATATTCTTATTTTCATTTCTGATAGTTGTACATAGTTTGTTCTGATTTTATGAGTATCTTACAACAACTGAAATGTTATTCCCTTTTATAAAATGTTCCTTTATATGTATATGACATCAAAATGCTTTTGGTAGGTAATATATATCAAACCTTAGTTTTTATAAATATGGTTTGAATGTTTATAAAAATTTGAATATTTCTTTTTTTACTCGTGGAAGCATAAATGGATCATGTTTCCAGCCTTTCTCCAGTTTCTCGTTGTTTGAGTTTGTTAAGTGACTGGTATCACACTCTTCTCTTGCCCCTCTAGTCTCCACTCTCCTTCCTTCTTCTTGGGGAGAAGGGTTAGTCTCTTACTTTGTGGTGCTCTTATGTTCTTTTTCTTCCCTCTTTCAAAGGACGAAAAACCAGTGACAAACTCCATGCTGGGTGTGTGGATTGGTGACACTGCTATTCCTTGTACTCCTAGCGTAGCAAAAGAAAAGTCAAGAGTGAAAATCCGCTGCACAAAGTGAGTTCAGATTTCACCTTCTTATAATTCAATGAGGCAGATGTTCTTACTTGCTGACTGAGGTTTTTGTCCTCCCTGGTTCCCACATCTGTAAATCCCAAAGAAAATCACACAGAAATCTACATTAGTTATAAACTAATTGGCCCATAAGCTCAGGCTTCTTATTGACTCTCCCCCCTTCCCCCTGAGAATGGGTTTCTCTGTGGCTTTGGAGCCTGTCCTGGAACTAGCTCTTGTAGACCAGACTGGTCTCCAACTCACAGAGATCAGCCTGCCTCTCTGCCCCCCGAGTGCTGGGATTAAAGGCTTGCGCCACCACTGCCAGGCTTCTTATTAACTCTTATAACTTATATTAGCCCATTATTCTTATCTATGTTAGCCACATGGCTCAGTACCTTTTTCAGTGGATTAATCACCTCTTCCTTCTTCTCTGGTTGGGACAGGACTGTGGAGGAGAATGAGCTTCCTGGTCTGCCTCTACTTCCTGTCTGGTTGTCCTGCCTATACTTCCTGCCTTGCTACTGGCAAATCAGCATTTATTTAAAACATAATTGACAGAATACAGTCCCACACCACTTACTAGCATTATAGGTTTTAGAATAAACCAAACTAGTAAACTTTTTTGATTTGATATCTAAAATTCCAGAGTTAAAGACATGTTTTTCTGAGACTTAAACATTTGGTGTTTTGTTACACCAAAATATACTAAATGATAATTGAATAATTCTTAGACAGTTTTTTAATTAAAATGTTTCAATGATATTTTAATAGGTTAAAAACAAAAACTCGAGAAAAAGAACTCATGAAATTGGCTAAGCAGTTTGATAAAAATATGGAGCAACTTGATGTGATTCAAGAGCAAGATGGAAAGAATCATGATTTTATCCAGGCAGCTTCAGAAGCGGGACATATACACCACCGTAAAGATTCCGTACAGATGGAAATAGATAACACAGTTCCGGAAATCGATTGTGCTCTAATGAAGAAGCAAATGGAAGGAAACACCAGAATATCTGTGGCAAAGGAGCAAGACAGCAGTCAGAAACCCTTTGACCAAAATGTTGAAGCAGCCCTGAATGCTATTTTTGATGGTTCCACTCAGATGTGTAGTGGACAGCTAAGCCAAGGTGTGACGAATTCTTTTCTGAACAATAGCAAAACTACCTTTGTGAAGAAAAGCAGTTCAATAGAAGAGGAAATTATTACTAATGAAACTCTGGTCACTGAAAACCCGCCAAGCAGAACTCCAATATCACCTTCCCCTCAGGTAGATACTGCCTTACTGCGAAAATCATGTGTGACTCCCTGTGCTAAGAAGCCAGAAGCTTCTACTAAACATCTTGATGGGCTGACTACTAATGATTTTGAGGATGACTGGGAAAGCTTGCTAGGCAATGAACCTTTCCTCATGGAAAATGCTGAAATGCTTCAACCCCCTCCTTCAACAGCTGCCCAAGGTACGAGTCAGAATGCAGCGTGTACCATCACTGCTAAAAATGATACAATCACATCAAGAGCAAATATGAATCTAGGTCGAAAGTCGGGAGATTCGAAAGTAACCCTGGACCTTCCTTCAAAGCCATGTAACAGAGAACTAGGAAATTCTGGAGAATATAGATTTTTATCACATCCAAGTGATGAATCAAGCAAGTTACCATTAACTGGAAATAAAATGAGGTTTGAGAAATCTTTGGGTAACATTAAAGATGACGGTTGTGTTGATGTCTCTAATATTGCAAGAGTAAAAGAAGATAGTCGCAGTAAGTGTACAGTTAAGTGTGCTTCTGATAGTTCTGGTTCATACTCAAAATATCTTAATGAAAGAAACAATGGGCTTAGTGTTAACCTGCCTTTGAAAGCGCCTATTGATACTGCTCCCCTTGGTTCTGTATTCTTGGGCAAAGAAAACAGACTAATGGATCAAAACACAAACCAGACTAATGGATCAAAGTTCAGTTCTTCCCTCGATGACTGGAATGATCCTTTGGTGGCCAGTGAAGTAATTGAAGCATGCCATGAGTTCGAGACTACCTGGGAAGCGGATGATGTAGATGACGATTTGTTATATCAGGCATGTGATGACATTGAAAGACTAACTCAACAAGAAAATAAGGGCAGCAAGCAGTCAGAAAGTATAAATAACACTTCCAAACAGGGACCCAGAAATATTTCTACTGCATCTAAACAACATTGGAATCTTACCAGTTCCTCGGTACCACCGTCCCTAACAACTAACTCAGAGATACATAAATCGTTGGAGGTAAAGAAAAGAGACACGTGTGGAGCTTATCCCAGTATTTTGGATGCTACAACAAATATGTCTGTGTGCTTTAAGAATTCAAGGGATAATCAACATGTACCAGTCCAGGTGAATAGCTCAAAATTTATGCTTGCAGGAAGTTCAAGTTTGAATGTTAATTTGGGTCCTGTGAGCACAGAAATTACCAATATGAAGTTGGGTACTCATCAGCTTTCCCACATCACCTCAGCAACTCAAGCTCAGAATGACAAGTTATTGAAGGTTTCAAAATTTACATTTAAGACAAAAAATCCTCAGTTTCTTTCTCCATTAAACCAAAATTGTATAGCAGGAAGTATACCTGTTAGCAAAATCTTGCAGGATTTAGGAAAAAAAGAAACTGTCAGTTCACTGCTTGAGGCTAATCAACACCCATCTTCAATAAATTATTCTGAATCTTTGACACCATGTTCTAAAGGTATGTATAAAATAGTTTTCTTTGAAAAGTATTATCTTGAAAATTATTGATGCTGTTTACTTGTTTTGCCTAACCAGGTATAATTAGTATCTGATACAAAATTCGTGACACTTGTGACAAAATTAATGATACTTGATGCAACCTTTTAAAAATCATTACAGTTGATCTTTTTTTCTGATTGTTCTTATTTCTTCATAAATTCCCTTAATCGTACCTCAGTAATTGTATCTTCACTGTCCACCTTACAATATTGCTACCACCTTATAGTGTCCTCTATGTCCCCTTTATATTTTGTTCTTCAAAAAACAAACTAGGCTTTTTAACCCACATAAAACATTTATATGTATAAAGCAACCTTCAGTGAATGACTCATTTCAAATAAAATTTAAAACTATAATCTAAAAAACCCTTAACCAGTCTCACATGCTAAAATATCAGAAATAGAATACTATATAATAATTTGGAGTAATTTTATCTGAGAAAAGCACAGTTTGGTATATGTCATGAAACTTTTTTCGTCAGCTTATATCATATAAAGTGATGTTTGATTATGACATTTTCATACTTGTAATAACATAACTTTATTGTAGTTGCTACCTCTAATTACTCTTTTTCCTACTGGCTTCCTTCTCATCCCAAATAGTCATCCTTTATTTCATTTTTCTTTGTTGCTTGCTATCATGAAGTAGTAAGCAGTTTTGTCTAAAACTTTCCCCACATCTGTTGAGATGATCATGCGATTTTTATCCTTCATTTTATTTTTATGTTTGTTGATTTGTGTAGGCTGAATCATGTCTACATCCTCAGAATGAAATCAGATTGATCATGATCCTATTAATAAGTTACTGAATTTGATTTGCAAGTATTTTATTAAGTGAATTTTGCTATGTTCTCCAAGGAAATGTATTGTTACATCCTTATCCCGTTTTGATATCAAAGTTAATACTGGCTTTGTAGAGTGAACTTGAATTACTTACGATCTCTGGTGTTTTTACATATAGGCAACTCCTAGCTATAAAATTCTCTCTTAGCGGTGACCTAGCTGTTTTCAGAATTTCTAGTAAGTTGTGTTTTCATTTTTACTCGAGTCTAGAAATTTCTAAGTTCCTGACACACTTTTCACCCTCCAATGGATCTGATAACAGAAGAAATTATTTTCTCCCCCTCATGTGTGTGTGTGTCTGTGTATGTATGTATTAAGACTTAAGGACATAACATGTGTTTCGAGAAAGTTTAATGGTTTGCTAGAAGAATTTCTGCAGTGGTTGAATTGAATATTCAGTATTTATCCTTTAAATCCATTTGATTTGTGGAATAGTTAACTTGGAGAGTTGTTTTATTACTTGTTTTTCTGCTTGAATGATCTGTCTATTGACAAAAATGGAATATTATGGTACTAAAATTCTTCCTTGTGATTAGATCTCTCCATCCTCATATTTCTTAGGATGGCTTACCTTGTTAACAAAGGTAAGATGGGTGCACAAAAGCCACAGCACAAGTATGGAGGTCAATGGGACAACTTCTGGAAGTCAGTTCTCTTTTCTGCCAAACTCAGGGCCCTCAGTCTTGGTGGCAATCACCTTCTCAGATCTCTATTTACCGAGTGGGTCTTGTTTTACAATAAGGTCATGAAGTGTAACCTTTTTACCCACCAAACCATCTGTATGGTGGCCAAGTTTTTCTTGTTTGTTTTGTTTGTTTTAATTTGGATTTTGAGATAGGATTTTCCGTGGTTTGGGCTGCTGTCACTTTGTAGCCTCAGGCAGACATGAGAATTTTAGTGCTTTGATTTTAGTCTTCTTAAGTGTTGGGATTACTATCACACCCACCCTTCGTCATATTTTCTGATGGATTGCTTCCTTTAAAACTCAGTGAATTGCTTTATACCCTTTCAGTTTGGCTTAAAACCTGGCTTTGTGGTCTGGGCTTTCAGATTCATTTTGTTTTTGTAATTTCATTCTCTGTTTATCACCTCCTGAGATCCAGCAAATACTTTGATTCTATTCAATAATCTTTAACTGGAGAATCACGATTGTTTACATTTAGTGTGGTTGTTCATAATATGGAATGATTTCCTTCTTCATCTTGAAAGATTTTCTGGTTTACCTGCTTACAACTGCTTGATTTCTTCCTAAAACCAGTTTCTTTATTGTCTCATCCATTAAAATTTGTTATTTCTAAAATTTATTACATCTTTTGTTTGTTTGGTTTTTGTTTTTGTGAATTTTTTTGTTTGTTTGTTTTTGTTTTTCAAGACAGGGTTTCTCTGTAGCTTTGGAGCCAGTCCTGGAACTAGCTCTTGTAGACCAGGCTGGCCTTGAACTCACAGAGCTCCACCTGCCTCTGCCTAGGCAAGCGCCACCGCCTCCCAGCTAAAATTTATTACTTCTATAGCTCTTGTACTTGTTAATCTTTCTTCATCTGTGCATAGTATTCCTTTAGTACAGTAGTTCTCAACCTGTGGATTGCAGCTCCTTTGTGGGTAGAAAGGCCTTTTTATAGGGATCGCCTAAAAGCATTGGGAAACACATTTTTACATTACAGTTCACTACAGTAGCAAAATTATAGTTATGAAGTAGCAATGAATATAATGTTATTGTCTGGGTTACCACAATATGAGAAACTGTTAATTAGTGCTAGCCTCCTTATTCCCTAGGGAAAGTTGAGTGCTATCAGTTCATTCAACAGGACACCCGTTCAGTATCTTCACCAATACAGGACAGTCAGATGTGATAGGGAGTTGAATCAAAGCAGGAACTCAGTTTATTACTGTGAGTACCTCCAGCCAGTGAGAAGCAGCCAAACCCTCCCTCTAGCTGCAGGGGCGTCTGTCTAGTTTTTGCTGTCTCATCCTCACTCAAACTCGAGCCAGGCTTTTCTCTGTCCTTACATGCCTCGAAGTCTAGGCTTTTTTCTGTCCTAGAGGCCTTGAGGTACAGGCCCTGAGATAATTTTGGCCCAACATCTCGCCCTTTTGTTTTTGATCCCACCCTCTACCCCGGTTACCAAGCCAGAATTGCCCACCGGGGAGAGAGTACAGGTCAGGACCACCCCATCTGGAGTTTCGGCCTGGACATCCTCAAATTGAGAGTTCATCCGTGGGGTGAGATGTATTGAGTCTATCATAATGTACTCGAAGGGCCATGTACCTGTTGTATCTGTTTTTGAGATGCTTGTTTCAGCCTTTGGAAGACTCATGGGCCAAAAATACAGATCAGTAAACAAATAGCCATTGGCCCAATTAGGGAAGAGACAAGTGTGGTAAGCCGTGGGGACCAATTAAACCAGGTCTCATGGGAGTTCTTGACTTAAATGAATTATTATCTTTTCTTAACTCATCTAGGGTTCTTGTAACTATCCCAGAATGGTCTGTATAGAAACAACATTCTTTCCCAAGTGCACTGCAAATTCTTCCCTGTTCCATAAACGGCAAGTCCAGGCTTCTCCTATTTTGTAAGGTTACCCTTGCTAAGGAATCCAAAAACTTTTCTAAATAACGTAATGCAGTTTCTGTCTTTTCTAATTATGTCCAGCCAGTCTGCTCACATCTCCAGGAAGAACAATAGACGACCCCCCAACACACACACACACACACACACACACACACACACACACACTTTCTAATAGCAATAGTGGAAGCAGTCTGGTTGCTCCCTGGGCATACATAAAAGGATCTCTGCAGGGGAGGATATGTCTCCTAAGGACATGAGAACACCCAGGCTCATTAGGGTAGAATGCCTGGGGTAGGGTGCACCTGTGAGAGCCTCGGTGTTCAAGTCTTCCTTCCATCCCCGGAATCCCGGTCTCTCATATCCCAGCTTCCATGTACCAAACCGCAGAGGTCAAACATGAGGTCAGGCTACCATGTCCAGAGGGTTGTCATCTGAGAAGTCTGGTTTAGGATCCTTCCAGTGCCAGCGCTCCGCAGGATCGACGTCACCTTTTGGGGGCCTGGACCTCGATTTCTGTGAGAAGAGTTAACATGATTACCGCCGGGAGGGCCATATGAAATAGATAAACAGGAAACACTATCCTAAAGGGTTACTCTCTCTTGGGCAGTGGTTATTTTTCTTTTCTTTTGAATTTAAGGGTTGTTCACCATAATCTCTCTCTTTCTTTATTGGTTCTTTATTGGTCACCTTGGTCTTCCCCATTGTCCTGAGGTGAGGGGTAGCCATATAGGCGTTTTCCCCTTTGGGAAAACATCCAAATCCAAGGCCTTGTGTTAACAAGGGATCTGGGCCCCTCCGCTGGTTAGTGGGAGGATCCTTCCACCTAACCTTTAGGCAGGGCCTCCTTGGTAGGGATCCCCAATGTTTCTGGAATCCATTTTGTTCATCTGATTTTTGAGAATTTAAAAATATTGATGGTTAATAACACCTTTTACAATTGTAGATGGGGGGAGACTTCTCCCCCTTTCTGTTTTATAAGGACCTCTTCAAGATATTGGTGATGTCTTTCAACAATCACTTGACCATGAAAGGTGTATGGGATCCTGGTGGTATGGATATATCCCATCTCTGGAAGAATTCATTTAATGTTTTACTTATAAAACAGGGTCCGTTGTCAGTCTTGACCTGTTGTGGTAGTCCCACCATAGCAAAACATTGTAGGAAATGGCTTTTGGCTTGAGTTACCTTTTCCCCAGTGG